AGTATTCATTATTGTCGAGGCTTGTCAAGTGTCTGCTGTGCCTGCCACATGGCAACGCAGACTGCGAACGAGGATTTAGCGAAAATCAGCGCTTTTATGAGAACCGCTACTCATTATGTATTGCAAGCATTAACGGGTTGCGCCAGACAAAGACATACCTCCGCAGGTATGATGGAGATGCCACTAAAGTTCCCTTGTCTACAGAGCTTCTGCAAAGTGTAAGGAGATCTAGAGCCCGATACACAGAGAGAACTGCAAGTGCACAGCAGTCAGAAAGCAGGAAAAGGCTTGGAGACCAAGACACTGGTGCTGATGTCGACGAAAAGCGACTTCGTAAGAACTTGGAAGAAAAGGTCACCTCAAGTAGGGCATTGCTGAAACGAGCAGAAGACATAATTTCTTCTGGTCTGGGTTCTAAGAGCCTGGAACAAGTTGAAGCTGGGCAAACTTTATTAGCTGAAGGCAACTCCGCTTTGAGCCAAACCCTCTCGCAGCTGGAAGAACTAAGCAAGAAGGTGAGCAAGAGGACGTAAATGCTGCAACATGCACATCTTTCTTCTGTAAATAAATGAAAGTTCAAAACTCTCCTTACAGTTCGGTTTCTGGAAATTTTCGTCGTAGCTTTTAGTGTACTTTAATAAACTAATGCTACACCTGCACTACCTTCATTTTCAGTAGTGCATTAAATCTGATGGACTGGTCCATTTCTTGGTGGCTTTTAAAATCGGCTTGCACGTGACACTCTAATTAATAATTGAGAATTAAGACAAATACGGTTTTATAGAACTGTGGTTGCTATCACAGCTTTAGTTTCAGCAATAATGAGAGATGTATTTTTGTAAAATAAGTTGCTGCTACAATTGCTGCTCCAAAATCGAGTGCAGATACAAAGGTGCTCCAAAAGAGCATTTTCTCTGCTCCAAAAATTGCTCCAAAAGTTGAAGTGGCTGGATTATAATGACCAATATCTGTCTTATCATGAAAGTTTCAGGTACAGCTTGTTGCGTTACGGCATATTTTGACTACAAAAAATGCCCAAAGGCATTCTACGCAGTGCTTGGTTCCATTCTTATGACCAGTATCTGTTGTATCATTAAGAGCCAGGTGCGGTTTCTTGCATTAGAGGATATCCCTAATACGCTTATCATTCGAAAGCCCTCCACACAGGGCACAATTACAGCCTCATGACCTAAATCCGTCACATCATGAAGAGTAGGGTGCGGGTTGCTGCATTGGAGAACATTTCGGCTGCAGACAACATTCAAAAGCCTTCTATACAGGGTTCAGTTCTAATATTATGACTGATATCTGTGACTTCATGAACAGTTAAGTGTGGTTTGTCGCTTTAGAGAATACTTTGACTAAAGACAACGTTCAGAAGTCTTCCATACAGGGTTCAATTCTAATATTATGACCAATACCTGTGACTTCATGAGCAGTTGGGTGCGTTTTTGTCGCTTTAGAGAATACTTTGACTAAAGACAATGTCCAGAAGTCTTCCATACGGGGTTCAGTTGCAATATTATGACCGATATCTGTCGCATCATGAAGTGTCAGGCCGAGTTAGTTGCATTAGAGCATATTTCGACTATGGAAAATGCCCAAAGGCATTCTACGCAGTATTTGGTTCCTATCTTATGACCAATATCTGTTGTATCGATAAGAACCAGGTGTGCTTTGTGGCATTAGAGGATATTTCTAAGACACACATTAGCCGAAAGCCTGCTACTCTGGCCTCAATTGTAGTCTTATGACCAATACCTGTTGTATCAATAAGAACCAGGTGTGCTTTGTTGCATTAGAAGATATTTTTAACACACACACCAGCCAAAAGCCTGCTACTCTGGCCTCAATTGTAGTCTTATGACTTTAATCTGTCAGATCATGAAGTTTCAGGCGTGATTATTAAGTTGAGTTCTATAAAGTATGAAGTGTAAATGTACCGAAGGTACCAGCATATTCACGATATTGTTAATAAATTTGGTAGTGCAGGTATAGAAACCCGGTGGTTTGTAAACCTGATTAGGAGGGCAGCCGCCGCCTCATTCACCGAAGAGAGGAGGGGGGGGGGGGGCTCAATATCAACTCTATATATTAACATAATAGGGAGGGGGCGCTAAAACAGCCCCTACACGAGCATAATAGGAAGGGGGCACTGCGACGAACTTTTGCCCCCCTTCCCCTCAAGGAGAACCTTGATAAACATACACTATCCCCCCCCCCCCCCCCCTTAAGGAGCCTATGATAGACGTAGAGTATCCTAGACGCGAATGTTCATTCACGAAAGCGACGCACGCACGGATGTTGATTTCTAGTGCATACCGCTGTATTTACTTTGGGCACTGGAATGTCAATTACTTCTAAAATAGTCTAAACTGTGGTGGGTGAAGCAGTATCAATTTTTTAACATGTTCTCATATCCTCTAAAACATACAAACCCGCTCCAGTTGAGAACGTGCCGTTCTGTGCTGAACTTGAACAGTTCTAAGCCAAATGATCAAGCAACATTGTGCATCGGCCTTAGACGCATGGGTGTCAATGCGGTTGACGCATGCCAGTGGTTGGGCGCCCTTTTCCTCCACAGGCCCGACTAGACGCTTTTGACGCGTAGGCGCGTACATACGCGTGCCGGCGGTTGGCACTTAGGTCACTGCATATCAGTGATAATCTGCGGCGATTCTTGAGTAGCGCAGCGTCATTTTCATCCTGAGCGGTGGCGCAGTGCTCAACTTTGTCAAGTGAAGGGTGAAAGTCAAGTCGAGGAGCGTTTGTGAATACGGGGGTGAGACCCCCCAAAATGCTGGACTTAAGCTTAACGTAAGCTTTTCGCTTGTCTGCAGTCAGCCTTCACAGCAGCCCACATGCCCTTTCGCTCAACTGTGGTGAAACTAGCCTGGGTTACCATTCGCTCGGAAGTTCATACGATTTGAGCGTTGCCTCAACATCCTCGAACCACATTGGCGCCACTGCCTCTTAGTTTGGCATTGGTGCAGGTACACCCTTTAACAAGCTTGCAAATTTGATTCGCCTGTCTTCTTGTAACCTTCTGCCAAGCGATACTCTGTCAGTGCCCTCGTAGTACTCTGCCGCATTACGTGCTCGTAGCTGCTGGCTTTCTAGCATGAAGCACTGCCTCTCCACTTCTGCCTCACCAATTTTCGATTGCTGCTGAAGCAGCGCTAGCTGCTGTTTTGACACCATACCTGATGCACTACCATGACCCCCTGTGCCGCTGTCAGCAACTCCCGAAGCTTGCAAGTTTCCTGCCCCGTCCCCGTTCATTTCCGAGTTGTCCCTTTCTCTGTCTCGCAACTTGTAATGCTTTGTCATAGCCTCCGCCCAACAGAAAATCAAGAGGTACCCAGTAGCCTTGCGGTGCGCTGCAGTAGCCTTGCCTGCTCGGAAACCAGTGGACTAGACTTGCTTTGTTGATCCCGCAGCACGGTAGTCAGTTGAAGTTAGTTGTCGTCAGTCTCAGTCGATGTCGCTCCCCGCTGTCCACCTCAGTTCAACCATGCAGATCCTGCTCGACTGCTCCAGTTAAGTTCTGTTTTTGGTCTTCCGCTCGCCTCCCTCGTTGTGCGACATTTGCAGCTGCCGCCAAGGAAGTCGAAAACAAGATTTTTTATCTGCTGGCACCTTAAGAAATGGACCTCTCGGACAGCATTTCGATAGGGACGTTTATTGGTTTCTCTTCTTTCCTTCCTGCCGCTGCACCCCTGCCTTTATCTCCTAACTCCCCATTAAACTACTCTTATACAATCCAATCGGAACACAGGAATGTCTCTCTCCTGCACTCCCGGTTGGCTGCCGTTAAAAGTGCCAGGCAAGTAGTCCTTTCTCCTCGGATATTTCTCGAAGAACCACCACCTCTTGCCGCTGCTCAACTTTCTTCACTGCAGTTCCCGGGACACTTGGCGTTCGGCGTCGACGGGCCGTGGGAGTGCACCTACATACCTGCAACACTGGGCTGACAGGTCACAAGTATAATTGGCCTGTGTATCAATGTCGCCGCTGCCGCTGGTTTCGGTTGCTACAGCAGAGAGCAAGTGCACCTTCCACTCATGCAGGCAGATTCGACTCTTGTCTCTAGTAAGGCGCCACCACTAAGCCCCTTCGGAGACGTGAGTCTTCGCATCCTTTATGACCGACAGACAGCCATCGTTCCACCTATTCAGTGGTACCGCTTTCGTCATGGCGTGGGCTCACCGTCAGCGGGGCGGGTAACAATATGAAGGTATTCAGCGAACGCACCAAGTTCGAACCCAACATTAGCATAACAAGCTTAAATTTTAAACATAAAAAATGATGAATTGATCGGAGGCTAATATGTTAATTCAACCTTGTTTTGATACTTGTGGCGATTCCCCTACATTTTTCCCTAGGTAAGCGTTTCTGCGGCACAGACCCCTTCACTGCAGTGAAACCACCTCTACGGAAATTGGATGCGGACAAAAATACATCTATTTGTTCGTTTCGAACACTTCAAAATTTTGAATAACTTCGATTCAATCGATTTGAATTGAAATACTGTTAAAGTAATATGCAAGAGCTACAACTGTGGCTCCTAATTGGACATCATCGTAACTCGAGGCTGCAGGGTAGTGATGTGAGCCAAGTAGAGGGATCATCATTGAGTCACTTTTGAGGGTGTCTGTGCCATGCGGTGTGGTTTATAGTGCTCAAGAGTGCACACACACTTTGAAATACCTTCCGTGCCAAATTTGGTGTTGATATTTTGCAGGTGATATACACATATTCTGGGGAATTAATCCCACAGGTCATATTGCCTGTGAAATTCTGTGTCAGCAGCTGTTTAGCTGTTTAACGGATTTTTCTGTGCCAATGTAATCGTAAGTGCCATGATTAAACAGTTGCAAAGTGCCCCAGTATTGCAGTTGGCCAACCAAAATTCTATACTTGTCTAACTCAGCTGGAACTTTCAAAGGTTGCTCTGGCTGATGAATTGTAAAGCAAGGTGTGTTCCTGCCTACACAGGTGATTCGATTCAGGAAAGGATTGTTCCCTTCACTTCACTCAATTATCGGCAAGACCGTGTCGGGCAGCCACAAGCAACGGTTGATGCAGCACCCCTGCCCTTTGCTGACTACTACCATGGCGACAGCACAAAACCTGAGTCGTGCCATCCAGCCCCCTGCAGGTGTCCTCGGCATGGTCGAACTGAACAGGGCTGCATTTGACACCACGGTATCTGTGCCAAGCTTCGAAGTGGATGCCAAGGATATAGCAGACGTCATGACACACATGCGTAAATACCTGCTGAAGTTGCCGAAATTCAAGGCTGTGCAGGAGAATGGTACCAGGAAGCGATTTCATCTTGACCCAGCCAAGGTTCGTGCCAAATGACACACGTGGCATGCCTATGTACATCGTGCGAGTGAAAGCTTAGATTGTCAGATGTTATGTTTGTGCACTTGGTGTAGATGTGCAACCATACAGTCCACAGTAATGCACTGGATGAAATAGGAATACAGAAACACTGCGGTTTGTATACTGCTGATCTCAAATGTATACCTTTGTGGCACTTGATCGCTTTGCAAATGGCATGGCATACCTCCCTGCAGTTAACGATTTCATTACCTACTATGCAAGCCTGTTCAGCCGAAGTGCCACACAGTGCTTTTTCACTGTCATCTGATGGCTATTGGGTTAGTGTTGCCTTGGCACACAGCTGAGTTTAATGTTTCGCATGTCTCCATTCTGAAATATCTTAAGATCCTAATGGTCTCTTTTTTCAGTGTTCTTTATCTTGCTGCTCAGTGGCTTGCCTCATTGCTCTTTCCTGTTTTGTTCAGTACATAACTCACGGATTCAAAAGCAATACGAAATTCTTTATACTAAACGACTGGTATGCACAGTTGCTTGTGACAACCACGTCTTGTCATAACAAATCTGCCCTCTAAAGATAATGTTAGCGTTGGTCTACACCAGAAGGGACAATTGGGCGAGTGGATGTGCTTCCATCTTGAACAAATATTAGCGCGACAAAAACGGGGATGGGAAAGAAAAGACAAACTACATCGCTGACGCGCAACTGAAATTTATTCCAAAAACAAGCGGTCTACGCATTTGAGCCGAAATCACAACTATATGATCCAAACTGAATACGGTAGGAACAAGAGTATGCCTGTTACTTAGTGTCCTATTTCAGTCCATACAACATGCTGCTTCCGATTACCAGCTGCTAGGTTAGGTTAGGTTAGGTTAGGTTAGGTTAGGTTAGACTCATTTAAAAGGGTCACGACGCCCAATCTTCGACCATAATCTGTGTTGTGTGGGTTGATTCTTGTACGTTCAGGGACAAGCTGGCGAAATTTCAGCACATTTGGTCGTGCCGTTAATTTATGATCGAATACTTATATGAATGAGCAAGTGGCCTTAAAGTTGGGCAACACTGGTGCGCTTGCTAGCCGTGGCGTAACGAGCTGCTTGCTGGTCGGGCTGTTGCACGGTCTTCATTTCGGAGGACAATTGTGTTTTGTAGTCAGCTGTGCTTGCAATTGAGCTTTTCCTGCATTGGTTCAACTTGCCAGTGGAACTAAATAACTTGCAGCAGTTGAAACAATGCCACGGCATCACCCACGTAGCGCTGGTATTTGCAGCTAAAAAATCTGTCAGTCTGCCTAAGGTCGAAAAGTGCACTGCAGTGTGCAATGCATATGCGGTTTGCCACTACGGATAAATATTTATGGAAGCTCCTTGCAAGCATCACACTTGCTATTTTTTTACCGGAACTAAATGCAAATAACAGAGTTCAAGCAAACATTTGGCCAAAGTGCATATTGTGAGCTTTATATCTAATAAAAGCAGAAAGCGTGGTGACATCACTACTGATGCACTGCAGTTTATGTATATATATTGCCAAACAAGATGCTGGGTTATTAGATTAAACTATTCACCATGAAACTGCCACGGCTGCCTTCTTGTTACCGAGCTACAGCTGGTGACGAGGATGTTCAAGCGAATCTACATTGTGAAGGGGTGGATCTCGTGAAAAACTGAGGCCGGACACAGCGCGCTCATGGCATGGCCAAGATGTGGGAATTCGACACACTCCTGTGTCGAAGATTCGAGCACTACTGCAAAGTAACCAATTTACAAGAGGATGAGTTTCAGTAGTGGGCCTTCATAACGGCCATTGGAAAACATGAATACAAAACGTTCAAGGATTTGCTTCTACTGGCAATCTGTGCAGATAAGTGTTGTAGACCATATCAAGGTACTGAGTGACCATTATCAGCCTCTTATCCTTGTCAGCCTCTTCTGTCCGTCCCTCTTTTAGTGCGCTTCAACAAAATTTTCAATTATGACCATTATGAGCCTGCAAGCCGAATCATTGCAGAGCGATTCAGATTTAATAGGTGGTATCAAAGCGGAAGGCGAGACAGTAGCGATGTTTGCAGTTGCAGTAAAGCACATGGCTGTTGATTGCATGTACGTCATATTCCTTCACGAGGCACTATACGACCGGTTCGTCACTGGACTGCGAAATCCTGCCATATAGACAGGTCTGCTAGAAAAGAAGTAGTTGTCGTTTAAATCTGCTTGAGACTTTGCCAGTAGCATTGAAAGGGTGGAACAGGAGTCGAAGGGTTTTCGACCTGGCACTGGAATAGAAGCCAACGTCCATGCGATAAGGGAGTAGGGCAGAAAAGTGGCATTTGTGGTCAAGCCAGGCAAGCAATAAGCGGCAACAAAGACGACCTGTCACCGTTGCGGGCTAGAGATTTCTTGTCATTATTGGAAAGCAAGGTGCTACAGCTGCAAACGCACGGGTCACTTGGCCCGAGTATGTTGACAACGTCCACCTGGTGCAAAAAAAAATTCATGCTATTGCTGGCCTGCAAGAAAATGATGCTCTATACTGTACATCACGCCAGCCTTGCGAAGCAGCCGTATGAGGTAAAGTTTATGCTCGGATGGAAGCGCGTGCAGATACAAGTAGACACAGCATTCTCTGATATTGGAATGCCTATGGAAGTAGCTAGTGAATTCTCCACTATTTAGGGTAAAGCTGAAGACTTGCGGAGGAGCACCCCTCGAAGTGAAAGGGCAAGCTGCGATTCCCGTCGAGTACAACGGACAGTGCAAGATTCTATCAGTAATTGCGGTGTCAGGAAACAAGCCAGCGCTACTTGGACGCGATTGGATCTAGAGCCTGGACATCGAATTGAATGGTATTCACCTGGTGCAAGTGGAGCTCACCGCGGACAACCTTGTGAAAAGTTATGCTAGCGTTTTCACTCCTGGGCTGGGACTGATAAAAGGCTCTCAAGCGAAACTTTCCTTCAAAGAAGGTAGCTTGCCGGTGTTCTGCAAGGCATGTCCTGCACCATGTGCCATAAGGGAGCGAGTTAAAAAAGAGCTAGATAGCCTAGTAACTGATAGGGTGCTAGTGGGTGTAACGCAAAGTGACTGAGCCACGTCGTTGGTGGTAGTCAAAAAACCAAAAAACAAAGTGCACCTTTGTGGAGACTATAAAGTGACAGTAAAGCCGCGCATTAAAACTGATCACTACCTGCTGCCAGCGGTTGAAGACATATTCGCAGTCCTAGCAGGAAGCAAAGTGTTTACCGGTTTAGACTTGTCAGTGTACCAGCAAATTGAGCTGCGCCCTGACTTGTGGCCCCTGTTGACTATAAATGCGCCCATGGGCTGATTCGAATATGTTCAAATGCCTTATGGCATTTTCCAGTGCACCAGCAGTATTCCAAGCAATTATGGACGAGTTGCTTAAGGAACTAAGGGACGTAGTTTATTACATTAACAATGTGCTTATCGCAGGTGCCGACAAGAACAAATGTCTGGCACTTGTAGAAGCAGTCCTGCAGCATTTCGAGAAGCACGGTGTAAAATAAAGGCACGAAAAGTGCAAATTTTTTCTGAAATTCATTAGATATCTGGGCCACATCATTGACGATGCAGGCGTGCACCCTTGCCTTGAAAAGGTCGAAGCAATTAAAAAAGCTTCAGCGCCAAATAACTGCACGGAACTAAAAGCATACCTTGGCATATTGACATGTTATTCCCGGTTCATGCCTCACGTCATATGAGCTAAGGCCCTTATACCAACTTGGTGGTTGGAGGAGACTAAAAAGGCATTTCAGAAAAGCAAGAAAATGCTCACTCAGGATTCAGTACTAACCTTCTGTGACCCTAAAAACCACTATGTTTGGTTTGGTTTGGATTGGAGCATTTTTATTCCATGTTGTTTGCGGCCAAGAGAAACCGGTATCGTACGCATTGCGCATGCCAAGCAGTGCCGAGAAGAGCTACATGCATTTCGAGAAGGAGGTGTTGACTGTGGTGTTCGGGGTAAAGCGCTTTCATAAATACACATCTGGGCGCGAGTTCACAATTTATTCCAATCACCTTTCACTAGCTAGCCTGTTTGGCCAGACAAAGGCGATTCCACAAGATGGCTGCTGCGCATATGACACTGGATGCATTTACTGGCAGCTTATCAGCACAAGCTGACTTATAGAAAGGGTGTGCAAGTGGCTAATGCAGATGCGTTACCACGATTGCCGCTTCTGAACAAAGCAGGCAGGAGTGTCTACGTTCTCTTTTTCTCTACTGTTGAAGCATCATGGCCTTCCGCAAGCAAGATTCAAGCGGAAACTGAGGAAGACCGCACGTTGTCAAAACTTTTCGTTTTGAATAGCTGGGCTGAAAGACTATCAGATATTGACATTGCACCATCTTTTGCCAGGCGAAACGAGCTATCTTTACACTTTGGTCGCATAACCTGGGGCACTCGAGTAGTTATTCCTGAATCTTTACAGCCAGCTACAGCTTTTGCACGAGAGGCACCCTGGTACCACTCGCACGAAAATGTTATCAAGAGGCTATGGGTGGTGGCAGAAGTTGAATTAAGTGATCGAAGAAACAGTTATGCTGTTCAACTTGCCAGCTCAGCCCAAACGCTGCACCCGCCATATCACTTATACCACCAGACGATGGCAAGGAGTACACCTAGATTTCGTCTACTACAAACAAGACTGGCTTTTGGTGCTTGGTGATGCCTATTCTAATTGGGTGGATGTCATACTCATTAAATCGACCCCGGGCATTTAAGACTGTAAGAAGTTTCGCACCATTTTTTGCAGCACTTGGGCTTCCCAAACAGATTGTGACAGATAATGGTCCTCAATTTGTGTCTGGCAAATTTGCAGTTTTCCTCAGATCCAATGTGGTGCAACACATCGAGACACCACCGTACGATTCGGCTTTAAATGGGGCAGCAGAGAGGCCTGTCCAGACCGTAAAGAAGAACCTTGTACACCAACTGCTAGACGAGAGGCGCTCGGGGCAAGCCAAGACCATTCAGC